CCCCCCTCCCCCCCCCCCCCAAAAAATGGCCCAACTTTGTGTTCAGAAGGGGTGGGCTTCAGAAGCATGATGGTACATTAAAAGTATAAAAGACAGCAGGTCAAGGAAAGAATAGAACCACTTTAAAATCACCATTAATTTAATTTTCTTATCTACTTATCTATTAAGTCAAATAGGTTTGAAAAATCCTTTTTTTTTGTAAGAGTTTGCTCATACCTGCATTCCTCCTTTGCACGATCTCTAATACTTTCAACAAGCAAAAGGATGTGACTCTTGAGTCCTTCTCTAACCATTGGTGGCTCTGGCAGTGAACTCCTCAATGGCTCATTAGAAGCCTCGTTCTCAGATCTAAAATCCTGCCAAATTTCTAGAAGCGCCTCGACCTAGATAAGAAAAATTTAATGTGTGGACGTCTAAAAGCCATGTCCATACTATCAAATTTTATTTGACAAAAACATGTGACATGTCTAATATGGTCATGATGACATCACATCATGACCATATATAGGCATATCATGACTATATATGGGCACATCATGACTATATATGGGCACATCATGACCATATATGGGCACATCATGACCATATATAGGCATATCATGACTATATATGGGCACATCATGACTATATATGGGCATGGAACAATTTTTTGTGAAAGAAAATTTGATAATGTTGACAAAGCTAATGGGTGGAGGCACAACATTTTCAGAATAGCTAAGCGAGTAGCGCTTATTTCAATACGTAACATTGATGTAAATTGAAATTTTAAAAATTAGTGTCGAAAGGTGAGAAGGGTTCCCTGCGTTTCCCCTACTGGATCTGCGCCTGATCATATAGTAAAGTGGTGTGATGTCAGCTATTAGACGTGACACTCTCTGCAATATGTTTAAAAAAAAAATATCATAATTATCATTCCTGCTATCAGTGTCCTTAGCTGTCCCACCTACTGGCCAAAATGTTCAAAATCTGGGACTACAGGTCTCCCTTTAATTAAAGACCCCTCCAATTAAAGACCACCTTTCTGCAGCCCCAAATGACTGTCTTTCTTTAATATTTATGAGAAAGACCAATGCCGCTAGAGACCATGAAAACTTTGGTATAAATAGTGGCCTTTAATTGAAGGGAGATGTGTATCATAAATTCCAATGATATTCAAATCCTTTATAACACCATAAATATAAGGACTTCCACAAGTCCTTCAGCTTTTTAAGGGCTAAAATTGCTTGTGACTTGAATTTTCTCACAGAGAGCACCAAATTCACTAAAAAAGGGACTATATATTATAAGGAGTTGAAATTAATAGGTTTTCAAATAGAACTATACCTCTGAATGAAGTTCTAACGTCTGATCAACCTCGGATTCTCCTAATATATTTTTAATTTCTTGTTGCTCCTCTTGGGAAACGTTCTCTTGGACAAGTTTCCATAGTGACAGAGGTACTTCAAAGGCTTGCAAATTTGGCCCTGGTTCACATAACATGATTTTGTCTGTGTTTGACTGCTGGTCTTTCACCATTATTATCGCACTCAGTTCTACATTACTTTTGATGAAGTATCAAATCTGCTTTCATTTAATTCTGATCTGAAGAAAATAAGATACATCTTTTGTGTCACCAATCACCATCTAAATTATTAGTTTATCTAAAAATATTTTTTTGTATCGCTTTGAATTTAGGCTCTGACAAAATCTTAATAACCAATGCAATTATGCAGCAAAAAATACGATTTTGCGCACCTATTTTCCTAGCAATTTTCCGCGCAAATTTGAGCTGATTTTTTTAGATCTCTACTCACTTAAAAAACTTTACATTTATGGAGCCTAACCATATGCCATAAACTTAGCCTAGTCTAGCTTCTTCCAACTTGGGACTGGGCACTCCTGTGTTCAATACTGTAGTGTTCAGCAATCCATAGTAGGCTAGGCTAGGGCAGCTTATTAGCTAGCTGGGGGCCAGACACCACCATTCTCATTTTATAAAATGATAAGAATTAAGGGGACATAGAAAAAATTATTACATTATCACTCTTTTTTTAAATCAGAACATAGTCAATAGAATATTGCCTTTTTTTTTTTATTGATGAGGGAGGGGCTGTTTTCATTTGGCAAGAATACTGTAAATATTGCATAAAAACTGGTTTGTTTTTTAAAGAAAATGTATTCCCGTCACAAAATTCAACTTATTATTTTAAGCCGTTGAAATAAATGATGAGGCCAAATACTTTTTTTATTCTCACATCCATATGTCCCAATTTTTGACACGGGTGGGAGTGATAATCTAACAATTCTTTATTAGGTAGGCTAGGCCTAGGGGCCTATCAGTTGCGGTATGTAGGCCTAGGCCTATGGATTGGAATGATCCTTTTTTTAAAGGGCCTAGCCTAGCCTATTAGGGCCGCTCTTGAAAGGTCCTAGACAAGGCCTAGGCGATACCCTCTAGCCTACCAAGGCCATACCACAGGAAATAATAATGGTAATGGTCGTTGTGTTGAGTAAATATTTTAGTTGTTGTTATGAAATCATATCAGGAATTAAATAATTTTTAAGGACCACAACAATGGAAATAAGTTGGACTATTGAGTTACTTTATTGTGTTTTTATCCTTGAAATTTTTCATACTGTATATGAATTTCGAATAAAATAAAATGAAATGAACCCCTAAGTGATTAAACTAAGACTTTCAAGCCTAGGGCCTAGCCTAGGCTACCCCGGAGAGATTATGGGCCCGGGAGGGCCCGAGGCCTTTTCTAGGGCCAAAGTTAGGCTAGGCTACGGCCTAGATAGAACTAGTCCTTGCTACAGGCCTACAAAGATATATAAATATATAACAATGACAAGTGTTAACTACATACATGTTTAATAGTATCACAGGCTTACGTTAGCCCACTAACCATCATTTTCGAGGTTTGTTTTCAAAAAATTTGCAGCTCCGTTCTGCACTTTCACAGAGGTTAGTTTACGTTGGCAACCAAGATCCACCGTTGGTGGCGTGCTTTCAAAGGCCGAAAAAATGCGTTTCCTCCCTCAACCCACAAGTGAATTTATGTAATTCCAATAAACATTTTATTTTTTTAAAACATTCTTTCAAACAGAACGAAGTCAATACAAATAGAGTGAGCAGCAATAATCATTTAATCAAGAAAAGTTAGCCTATAACTAAGGTAATTATTACACGTATCAAAACATTATAACTTTTATAAATTCTGATTATATATTATTATCGTGAATACAAAAATAATATTCAATGATAAAAACACATCATTAAATGTTAAATACAGAATAATAAACAATCAAAACGAAAACTTCTGTGGCCTCTCTAGTTCAAGACCACTTTTTCAAAGAACCAAATCATCTTATTTAACACAACACAAAATATTTCAGTAGCGGATCCGGGGTGGTGGGTGGGGGGAGTTCAGGGGGTTCGGACGAACCCCCCTCTGTGAAGAATTAACAAAATACTACTGGGTCATGGCTTACAAAATTCATGCTAACTAGATGCGGACCCAGAACTTCGCCCACTTCGCCCAGGCGAAGGTCAGGGTGAGAAATCAAAATAAAATGTTGACCATTTTTTCCAACAATCATACTTACTTTCCTTGACACTTATTTTGAACATTACCATTAGGAAAATGTTTAAATTCACGCTATCCTATACCTTACGCTTTTAAACTGATTGCACCAGAGAGGGTATACGGCCTACATTCCTGGTCTTCCACTTCTATAGCGCATGCATAGCAAACGTTATGTAACCATCAGGTCCACTGGCGTTGGTATGGGCAGTGCAGTATCGGGGCTCGTTCAATTGGTCTAATCTGGTCTAATAATCTAAAAATGTAACGTTAAAAAATCCTATTTAAACATATAAAGGGCCCATCAATAATATTAGGTTTTAGAGGCTATAATATTGATTATATTCATTACAATTTACCTATTACCAATTTCCCCCACGCTGCAAGTAAAAAAAAAACCCCCCAACAAAACAAGCCCTTACATACGATGCACTAATGTGCTTTTTGAAATCACATTTCTAAAGCAATACAATATCGTCACGCACATTTGTGTTTGTGGTATTTTAAAGTTGGTTCAACTATTATTGTGTAGGTTTTTAAACACTTCAGATCATCATAACTTCAAGAATACATTCTAGATTCACTTCACTGCAAGTAGGTCGATGACTGTTGTATTATTGAATGGTAATTGTTATTATCGTGATGGAATAGACAATACCTGGTGGATTTGCGTGAGGAGAATCAATTAGGGGGCCTATATGTAGGCCTATTTTTCCAAACCTGTCGTGAATATGTATTGATTACCGGTACTCAGTGCGTGATGCACTAATATACTTTTTGAAATCACATTTCTAAAGCAATAAAATATCGTCACGCACATTTGTATTTGTGGTATTTTAAAGTTGGTTCAACTATTACCGTATTGTGTACGATTAAAAACACTTCAGATCATCATAACTTCATGAATAAATTTTAGATTCACTTCACTGCAAGTAGGTCGAGATGATTGTTCTAATTGAATGGTAATTGTTATTATCGTGATGGAATAAACAATGCCTGGATTTGCGTCAGGAAAATCAATTATATATGTAATAACTATATATGACTATATATGTAATTTTGCCCAAAATTGTCGTAAAAATTTACTGAATACTCAGTGTGTGTGAAAATTCTCCAGTGGGACTCGAACCCAGTTCTCCAGTTCTTCAGATCACTAGCCTGGCATCATACCTCTAGACCACCGAGCTTGCACCTGATGGCCAGGGTTGAATTCGATCCCAAATTAAGCAGCGAGTACTATTTTTGCAAGTGTTTTCACACGCACTGAGTAGGCCTATATTCAGTAGGCCTACATTTTTACGACGGGTTGGACAAAATTCCACCTATATATGTTCTATTGATGTTGTCAATATTATAATATATCATAGATTCATGAAATGCCTAATAGGCCCTAAACGATAACATACATATAACTTGACCATAGTTTGTTCTCAATATTCTTGAATTTTTTAAACAAAATATTTTTTAGATATTTCTGAAATGACGTATCTGTTTTAAAATATCTCAGAATGTATGAGCATTAAGAGTTTCGCCTGAATAGACCCCACTAAAGGCTCTGTCTCTAGGTCCGATCAGGTGCATTTTTACCTAGGGCCTGGCAGTTATCTATGCCATAGTTACCAACCGTCACGCATCGCGGGACAGTCCCGCGTTTCAAAGTGATTTTGGATGAAACACGCATTTTGCAGCATAAGCACATGCGAGATCATAAATGTGTCACGCATTTAGCACTTGCGTGATAACGAATTATCACAAATTCAGGGGAAAACGTATTTAAATTATGGGGTATGGTACTCAATCCACTTCAGTGCAATACCTTAACTATTACTTAAAGAAAAATAAAATCGATTATATTTATTTAGTTGACGACAAACCGATTAATAAGGTGCTGCAACATCGTGATCTTGGAGTTATTTTAGATAGCTTCCTTACTTTTTCTTTTCATATAGACAATCTTCTTAGGAAATGCAATATGTTGCTTGGATTGATGTGGCGCAACTGTAAATATCTGGACCCACATTCTAAAGCATACCTGTACATTACACTTATTCAACCTATATTAGATTTTTGTTCCGTCATTTATAATTCTATCTCAAAAACTAAGGCTTCACGTATTGAACGCCTTCATTCCCGGTTTTTGCGCTACATCAGTCACAATCGGACTAATATTAATTTTAAGTTTTCAATTAAATCACCCCAGTCCCGTAGAAATTTTAATGACCTTATATTTCTTTTTAAATGTTTGACTGTCTATCTTCTATCTTTGATTGTGAATTAGTTTCTAATTTTGCCCTTCGTGTTCCTGTCCGTATTTTAAGAAATAATGATGTTCTTTACGTTCCTTTAAGTAGAGTCAATATTTTAAAAAACGGGTTTATTAGTAGATTAAGTTCCTCGTATAACAAGTTAGTTCAGGACTATCCGTCTTTAGATTTATTTAACTCCAATCTGCACATTTTCCGTCGTAGCGTTTTAGGCGTGATTAGTTAAAATTAATTGTGTTTGTGTTTCTGTTTCCGTCGTCTCGTCCTTTGTTAACCATACTGTAAGTGGCGGATTTGTGTCCGCTGTTGTTTTGGTGAATAAATAAATAAATAAATAAAATAAATAAAATTAGAAGAAATTGGTTTTATCAAAAATATAAACACGGTCATTCAGTAGCTTGAGTCATTAGAGAGCTTTCATTATCTCGATCGAGAAAAAATTCACAGAGAAAATTTCTCCTTTCCGACAAAAACAACCCAGCCAACCACGCACTTGTAGAATCTATAGAGTAGTCGCGAGCAGCCTGAGTGTTAGTCATACAGTGGCGGATCCAAGGGGGAAATTTCCATCCCCTTTTTTTTTGGGTATTTTTGGAAATGTTTTGACCCCCCCCCCCCCCCTTTCAAATCCTGGATCCGCCCCTGCATTTTAATTGGAGACCGAAGCCGAGACCAACCCAAATTTCAATCCAAAAACGTGTCTCGAATTCAGGACGTGTGCTGTATGTCAACTAATGCACGGGAGCCACACCAGACGTTTGTGCAGAACTAAACAAATGCGCGGAATTCTAGTATATTAATACGAATATTAATAGGTCTAATGGAGATTCCAAAGGATTTTTCATAAATTTAAAAGAAAATCGAAGTAGCACACAAGCGTACTTTGTAAAATGCCAAGTTTTGGTAAAATAGATGAAGCTAAAAAATGCAAACACCCAGAGTAACATGATCATTCCGGTCCGGCCTTCCCCCTAAATCTTCCCCTGTAGTGCTTGCACCGCCTTCAATGCAACACCAACTGCAGAATCCTTTTGTATGCCACCTATGCGTGCAAGCAGGTAAATATGAACTCATTGAGGTCCCTGGTCGTCTAGTATAGGGCGCATTCAGTACTGTACTTGCGTGCCGATCGCAATATTCAGGTGTCCATTTGTTTTATAGACGGTGATTGATAAAACAACATTCAGGACTCTTGAATTGAATTTACGTGGATTTCATATGAAACACGTTTTTTTTTTGTTTTTTTTTTTTTTTTTTTTTTTTTTTTTTTTGTAGGGAATTTCGGCTGGGTATTAAAAAACAAAAAAAAAAATGTTAAATGCTAAACCATTACCTATTTAGTGAAAGTTTTACTGACAACTAACGGTACTGTAATTAATCTTGTAGAAGAAATTATACCGCGATTGAAAATGTTCAAAACTTGTATCGAGTAAATGAAATTTAAACTGTGGGACACCAGTCATGCCGCGTCGTGTCCGACACCATAACTAGTACCGTACCAAAAATGCATCCACCCTTTAAAAGTTCACGCACCACCCTTTAAATTTTGTGGAAAAAATTCTGAATTTCCCGCCACTCTTTAAGTAAATCCTGGCGAGAGGATTGATATATATACTGTCTCTTATACACATCTTGTTCCTGTCCGTATTTTAAGAAATA